CCCCCCTTTTCTTTGATGAAAATTTACAATGGAGCTTTGGGACCTGGGTTGGGCTAGCTGTCCCCCTCCCCCCTTTGGGACCCTTTACCCAAGTGTAGAAATAATTTTCAAATCCTACACAAATTAGGTAGAGGGTTCAGTGCCAGAGCCGAGGTTACCGAGACATGGGAAGCCTTTGTCCAAGGATGCACTGGGTCCTCATTTCCTTATTTCACAGAGGAAGCCAGGATCCACCCCAGAGGAACTTATTCAAATGGGGAGGATGTCAATACCAAATGCTCTCCTATAAAAAGGATAAACAGGAACAACAAAAACAGAACAATGCACTGCCCTCTAGTCGGTTCTGACTCATGCCGCCCCTGTGTTGCAGAGTAGAACAGTTCTATGGGGTTTTCTTGGCTGTCATCGTTTATGGAAGATCACCAGGCCTTTCTTCCGTGGCACTAATAGATGGGTCTGAAGCCCAGCCTTCAAGTTAGCAGCTGACAGCAAACTACTTGTGTTGCATAGAGACCTTAAAGAGAATAAAGTAACACACACTTGATTCATCTAGAAAGTTCTTCCTTAGGGGATGGGGGCTTCTACCGGGAGCCTCAGACTCTGCAGGGAGCAGACAGTGAGCTCTGGAACATTCTTCACTATAGAGTCTTCCACCTGGAGTCTCTAACTCTGGATATTTTCTGATTCGCTGGGTCATCCTAATGATTACTATAGATTGCTTCTTCTTTGCTATATATTTAACTAGAAAGATCATCCCAAACCCCAAAAGAAGTATCAGAAATATCATTTACAACTGGAGAAATTTCAATTTAGAGAGGTTACGTGATTTGCCCAAGCTGATACAAGCTATCGTATCCAGTATGTGTCTGGGCTCAAGTTGAAACTCTGACTTAGTTCACTCTAGAACTGCCTTCTTGCTAATCTGCTATCCTGAATTGACAAGGTCCTAGCAGTTGGGAGTCTGGCATGAAGAAACAAATTCTGTTTGTGGGACTGAGAGCTGGGCACGATGTTTGATGTTTAACACAGCAACTTGGGGTTACGATGACGCTTTTGTCCATGGGAACGAAAACAATAAACAGGAGGAGGCAGGAGACCAGTTGTATGAAGCAAGGCAATACGGTGGTGTGGGGAAGACTGTAATTCGGGGGGCAGAAAGAGGCTGGTACTAGGCATCTCTCTGGGACTGAGCCCGCAGGTGCTGTATTTGTCTGGGTCAGACCAGGATGGATGTGTCACTTCTTTGGTTAGGAGGGGCAGCAGGACGAGATCAAGAGAGAATTCTGGGAGAGTGTAAGAGCGGAGGTTGGCAAGGGAGGCAGGTTTACCACAGGCAGCCTAACAGACCACAGTCCAGAGCTTGCTCTTCATTCTGAGGGTGATGAGAAACCATTGCAATGTTTCGAGCAAGGAAGTAGAGGGTCATAAATAGGAGTTTGATTCTCCATGAGTTAACATCATTTTCCTAACATTCCTTCTCCCTGCCACTTGCTGGGAGCACTATGATGCCCTTTGATCTTCACTAAGCAGGTCCGTGATTCTCAACAGGACAGCCCAAGGCTGTGATGTGTCTGGTCCACACAGTGCCAGGCAGATGATCTAGAGCAGGATGCTGTTTTAGGTTATCTTAGAGAATTCTCGTGTAGGGTTCAGGCCTTCAAACCCCACTCTGCTGGAGGCTGCATTTTTCCACCTGCCACTGACCATTTGTCCACCCCCAAACTTATTCTTGGCCCCCTTCTGAATGTGGAGCCCTTCTACTTGTGCCTTTTCAGGATCTGCAGAGATTATTGTCACAGCTAAAGGTGTCACCCTGGTCCCTGATGGCATTAAACCTTTGGAGTTGGAAGTACCATCCCTCAAAGGGGGTCCTGAGCAGACAACGGGACAAGGTGAGCATCCTTTGGTTAGGTTGTTTAAGGAAGCCACATGGAGACATCCTTCTTTTGGTGTGGCCACCTGTAGACACTCAGCTATGATGAGGGTGAGCCTGGGGAAGGACCCATGTCCACTGTCCTGGTGCTGTCTCACTACCCTGACTTACTGAGGAGGCAATGACCTCACCATCGTCCACTTGGTAAAGTGGAGGGTCAGAGAAAAAGAGGATGACCCCCAATGAGATGGATTGGCACAGTGACAGCACAATGATTGTGAGGTTGGCACAGGACTGGGCAGTGCTTCATTCTGCTGTGTGTAGGGTTTCTTTGAGTCGGTACCAACTCAACGGCACCTAACAGCAACAACATTGTCCTCACCAGGGTTTCTTGGAAAGAATGAAGCACTTGGTGTTCATAATCCTCCTATATTCTCCCCTCTGGTCCCAATAAGAGGACCCACACCCGTAAGCAAGCACAGCCAGTTGGGAATAGTATCTGAGCAAGCCTGACACACGTCCAGTGAGCTGCAGAGGAAGCCGGGTTAGAGAAAGCGGCTAAGCCAGCAAGCCTTCCTAGTGTCTCTTCTTCTCTGCTCTTCTCTGCTCGACTTTAAGCTTGCACTGAAAGCCTCAGGTTAACTTACCTGCACTGCAGACAGAGGAGGAGTCACAGGGAAGGAGAAATGAAATCACAGGCACGATTTGCTCTCAAGTCAGTGCCCCAGGTGTGCTGACCTGAAAGATCCAGGAAGCTTAAAACCATAGCCAGAACTACCCCCTACGATGTGCAGACTTTCACTTCCCTGGAGTGGGAAAACACAAAGATTTTGCACCCACTAAACAACATTTTTATTAATGGAGAAAAGATTGAAGTTGTCAAGGACTTCATTCTTTTTGGATCAACTATCAAGACTCATGGAAGCAGCAGTCAAGAAATCAGATGATGTATTGCATTAGACAAATCTGCTGCACAAGACCTTTTTAAAGTGTTGAAGAGCAAAGATGTCAGCTTGAGGACTAAGGTGTGCCTGACCCAGGCCATGGTATTTTCAATAACCTCATATGTATGCGAAAGCTGGACAGGGAATAAGGAAGACCGTAGAAGAATTGATGCTTTTGAGTTATGGTGTTGGAGGAGAATATTGAAAGTACCATGGGCTGCCCATAGAACCAACAGATCTGTGTTGGAAGAAGTGCAGCCAGAGTGCTCCTTGGAGACCAAGATGGCCAAACTTCATCTCTCATACTTCAGGCATATTGTCAGGAGGGACCAGTCAGTCACTGGAGAAGGATATCATGTTTGGTAAGGTGGAGGGTCAGAGAAAAAGAGGAAGATCCCCAACAAGATGGATTGGCCAAGTGGCAATGCCAGTGGGCTCAAGCGTGGCCAACAGCAGTGAGGTTGGCCCAGGATCAGGCACTGTTTCTTTCTGCTGTGCATAAGGTCGCTATGAGTCAGTACCAACTCGATGGCACCTAACAACAACAATAACAACAGTGGAGTCTTGCTGAGTGTGGTGCCTCTTTATAAGTACTGGACTGTGAACCACAAGGTCTCCGGTTCGAGCCCGCCAGCCACTTAGGGGGAGAAAGATGAGGTTTTCTGCTCCTACAAAGATTTTAAAAGCCTTGGAAACCCTAAATGGGGTTGCTATGAGTCGGAACCTACTCAAAAGCACTTAACAACAACAATAATGGAGTCTTGGTGTGGTACTGCAGGATAATGTGCTGGACTGCAAGGTCAGTTTGAACCACAAGGTCAGCGGGTTCAAACTCACCAGCCACTCCTTAGAAACCCTATCCAAGGTCGCTATGAGTCAGAACCGACTCAATGGCACTTAACAACAACAACGGTGCGAAGGTCCATAGTTCAAGCCTACCAGTCACTCCACAGGAGAAAGATGGGGCTTTCTGCTCCTGCAAAAATTTAAAGCCTCAGAAACCCTGTGTAGGGAGGGTCGCCATGAGTCGGTTCCAACTCATCGGCACTTGAAAACAATAACATGAAGGAGCCCTGGTGTTGTTACACCTTGGGTGTTCACTCCTAGGTCAGCAGTTCAAACCCACCAGCCTCTCCTTGGGAGAAAGATGAGGCTGTCTGCTTCTGTAAAGATCTATAGTCTCAGAAACTCTAGGGAGAGGTTCTCCTCTGTGCTGTAGGGTCACCGGCAGTGAGGCAACGGCAGTGACCGGTCGTGGTGGATTAACGTGGCGGTGTCCCAAGGAACACTGGTCCGACTACATCCCCATTCCTTTGGGGCTTTCACAAGATGTCTAGGCAGGGGGTCTGAAGCCTGGTGAACAGGACTTGCAAGGGACTTGTCACAGAACAGTTTCCCAATAACTGGGCTAGAGGTGCAGTGCATTGGTTTCCCCATCGTGAGGAAGCTGTACTGATATGTCCTGCTCTCCTGAGAGCACCTATGCTTCCTCAGTCTGTAACAGGCTCTCGTTCCGGCACCTGGGACACGGGGGCCACACGCAGGGAATGCCACAGCTTGGAGAGATGCTCTTTTGCCTGACGTCCAGATGCCCAGAGGAGTTTGAATCTTATGGCTGCTACTGTGGGCAAGAGGGACGAGGTGACCCCAGGGATGACCTGGACAGGTATGTGGACAGGGTGAGTGAGGGGAGGAGGTGATGTTAATGCTATCTGAGTCCAAAGACACGTGCCTCCTCCACATTTCATAAAGAGCTTGGCAGGTGCACTATCGCACTCTGTGCCCATTTTCCTGAGGGTCAGAGATGACTTGGGAGAGGGGATTCAGTTAGGAAAGGGTGGAGGCAGACGGTGGTCCGAAGCTTTGGGCTTTTTTGTTGAGAGCTCTTCCAACCACAGATGTGCACATGCCCAGATGCAAAGACTTCAGATGATGCAAATGTCCTAGCTTGTGATGGGCAATATGTGCAATTGATTGACTAGTTGGATTGACAGGCAGAAGACTACCATGAAGTAGCTTCTTCTTTTTAAGTTTTTATTGTGATAGTTTACATGGGAGAACAGCAGTTTTATACTCATCCTATCGTATTTCGTTTCATTGTAATGATTACAACCCCCTCCGTGCATCATCATTCAACAATATTTATTTCTAGTCCCTCTGTTTTTTGGGGATGCACACAGAAACACTCAGGAATATATAATAATATAAACAACCAAAGGGAACATTCTGCAAGGCTGCCTCCTGACCGCCAGCATACAGCCTTTTTCTTTCCCATGAATTGAGTCCTCAGCAGCTCCCTCTCTCCATGTCCTCATCTCTGCTTCCATCTCTGATGTTGCTACTTCTCTGGATAGGGTCCTGCGGGATCCCGCTTGTGCTCATCTCCCTTGATGATCCTAGGGTCCTCTGTTCCTGTACTGTAAGACAAACTGCTCCCCACTTTATGTTACAAAACCAAAGTAGCTTCTTAATAACTAAGAGTAACTACTCAAGATTGTATCTTCCATTCTTAAAGGGATTCTGACTGGTCTCATACATTTATGAATTTATTCATTCATTTGCGTAATTGTTCAACTCACATTTCTTGCATGTCTACTTTGTGCTAGGTGGTGGTGGTGGTGGTGGTGGGGTGCCAAAATGATTAAGACAAAATAGAACACACAGTGAACAAGATGGAGGAGTCAAAAAGAAAATACCGCCCACTGTAGTACGAGGGGACATTGAGAAGTTTGTGGAAAAGCTAATGGATCTTCCACAAACTTTTGTATTTTTAAGGGGTATGGGTGGATAGGAGTAAGTGTTCATCTTGACTTCCACATTATCTTTGTATGGTTCCCTTTTTTTTAATGCTTTATTGTGAATTATGTGATAGTTTACATGGGAGGACATCAGTTTCACATTGATATCATCGTATATCATTTTCTTGCCATGGTTACAATCCCTTCCATGCATCATCCATCAACCAAAGGGTACATCCGGCAAGCCTGCCCCTCCCTGCCGCCGGTGTCCACATACTGCCCCTCTCCCTCTCCGGGTCCAAGGTCTCCAGTCGCTCCATCTGTCCACATCATCGTCTCTGCCTCCATCCCCCCCTCCTTTTTAAAAATTATTTTGTCAGTTTGTTTCCTGAAATTTTCCAGTTTTGTCTGTTTTCCTTGATTTCATTTATAATTGCCTTGCTCTTCCTTACAATCCATGTAGTCTAATTACTTTCCTTACCAGGTAGTTCTGATACCATTTCTGGTGGCATGTTTTTTGACTCTGTGTTTTGGTCGTTGTGTGAGGCAGCCTGTCTTCTTTGTGTCAGCTGAAAATGTCTGTTTTCCCCAAGACATTGTGGTGCTGTATTTACTTGGAGTTGATGACTGTATGTTGGTGTTTTCTCAGGCACTTACCACCTCTCTCCTGGCCCATGTGGCAGACAACTGGAAGTGTGAGCAGTTAGCTCTCTACTCAGTTGTGTAGCACAGTTTGGGGGAATTCACACCCTCCGGAAGCTGGGTGCTACCCTTGGTACTAAACCTCAGGCATGGCAGAGGCTGCAGAGGACGGGGTGCCTCTGCGTTAGCATGGGCAGGGAGTGGCCATGCCGCTGCTGCCAACCTCCAACCCCAACAGCTGTGGGCAGAAGCTCAAGATGGTGGCGCTGCTCACACCAGCCCACGGTCTGCCGTTTTCCTTCTCTGTCACTACTGCTGTTCAGCTTCCTCTTCCAGTAGACACTCAGTCACTGCTCCGTCCCATCCTCTGATGCTCAGGGTTCCAGGATGACCATCTGTTTCACGAGGCCTCCTGTGGCTTTGTTGCAGAGGGTCTGCTTGGTGCGTCTGTCTGCTCCACCATCTTGCCCTTGACTCTAGTGAACTTTCTGAACCCCGTTATACATGCTGTGTGGGTAACAGGGAAAACAGGGAGGACTGCATGGAATGTTGTTGGGGAACAATGACGAGACATATGCCAACCTCCCAGCTTTGGAGTTAGCAAACGCTATGGTGTGATTGAGGCCAGGTTAGATGGAACTTTTTGCAGTGCACAACCTGGACAACCATACTTAATGTGTACGACTCAGGACTATGTGCACTGGGCAGGAAACGCTGGCTTCTACAATCACTGTAGGGAATGTGGGAGCAACAGGCACCTAGGGGACTTCTGGGGAGCTGGAAGCTCTGGACAGTAAAGGTCTGTTTGGTCTTAGGTGCTGTTCGTTCCACCACTGTTGCCTCAGACAGGTGAAGAGACTGGGCTGTCTGCTGGAGAGGGCTCCTCAGTCACGGGTGCTATGCATGGACGGGACACCCAAGTGTAAGTACTGTGGTTCACGCTCCTTCCGGCGACTCCTCAGAGTAGCGCAGGCAGAGGGGGCACTTTTCCAAGCAGCACCTTTCATTTTGTGATGTCATCCTCGTCTTAACATACACAGAGGCTTGAAGAAGTCCATAGAAAAGTTCCATCATCTGGTAATTCCATTTCTCCAGGAACTTTCTGAAGCCATCACACCATTCCTCTCTGGGTGGTATGCATGGTTAAGTGGTCAGCTACTGTTGTTCCAAGGGCTGCTGGTTCAGGCCCACCCAGAGACACCTCTGAAATCAAGACCTGGCAATCTGCATCCAAGAGGTCACATCCTTAAAATTCCTACCCCACTTGCACGGCGTTGCCATCAGAACTTGACAGCAACATCCCACTTGAGAAAAGACTCAAGTTTAAAGAGGATACAGCCAAAAGTTAGTCATGAGTAGACCAGAAATCCAAATGAAACCCAGTGTCACTGAGTGGCTTCCACCCCTTCAGGACCCTGGAGATCAGAGTAGGAGTGCTCCACGTGGAAGCAGACTGTCGGAGCTTCTCCTGCTGAGGGGCTGCTGGGTTTAAACATAGTGACCTTGTAGGATGGAGCAGAAGTGCCCCACAGGGTTTCCAAGGCGGTCACATTTATGGGAGCAGACGGTCACAGCTTTCTTCTGAAGAGTAGCTGGTGGGTTTGAACTGCCAACCTTTCAGTTAGGAGCTCAATGCTTGACCTTCAAATTGAAATGTGCAGTTGAGTCAGGATATACAGGGTTTCCCAGGATTTGAACCACCAACCTTTCTGGTTAGCAGTCCAGTATTTAATTGCTGTTGTTAAGTGCTGTCGAGTTGGTTCCAACTCATGGTGACCTCGTATAGGGTTTCTGAGGAGCGGCTGGTGAGTTTGACCTGCTTACCTTGCGGTTCAAACAGACCTTGTGGTCCAGCGCATTATCCTGCAGTGCCTCACCTAGAGGCTCAGTAAAGGCCTTCTGGAAGAGTGATGCCAACCTGAGTCTTAACAGACAAGTATGAGTTAAGGAGGAAGAGAAAATTCAGAACATTCTCAGTAGAGGGTCAGTGTCCCAAGAGGTCCCAAGATGGCGGGTGGAGGCACTCCCAGGTGGGCCATGGAGGCCTTGGCTGTTGTGCTAGCATGAGTCACGTCTGCTGCTGTGTTCTCACCCCTCAGGTGTGGGGCAGAGTCTCTGTGAGAAGCTCCTGTGTGTCTGTGACCAGACGGCAGCTGAGTGCATGGCCTCCGCCTTCTTCAACCAAAGTCTCAAGTCTCCAGGTCCAGTGGAGTGCCAGGGTTACCAGGCGCCGTGTGTGGACAGTATGCATGGACAACCCTCAGCATCTTCCCTGGACTCCAGCTCCGAGGAGAACAGCGAGGAAGCCACATCTCTCCTGAAGGGCCTGAGAACCAGGAGATTTGTGCGGAAGTCACTTGGTCCCGTGGGGACCAGGCCACCCCAGGGGAGATAGTCAGTCTCCTGTATAAAATGGCCAGCACCCAAGTAGTTTAGCTCCTCCTCTCCCTTAACCTCTTAGGGGCTGTTTCTCCTACCTAGTGGGACAACAGTACCCATGTTAGCAGGGTCTCAAAGGGAACAGAAGTAGCGAGACCCTGTACACAGGTGTGGTCTGCTTGTATACTTTGAGCAGGCAGGTGATGGGCACCTCTGTGCAACCTGTGGCCCAGTATGATACCTCAATAAACACTCCAGTCAACTCTGTGTATGGGTGTTTTTGCTTTTTAAAGAAATGTTTAACTGTAGACACTGATGCATAAATAGATAGCAAAGGTCAGGTGACAGAAGTGATGGTGGGAAAAATATGTCCCCTTCGTTATCACTGAGAAGTGCAGTTTGTATTGCAATAAAAAAGGTAGGAAGAGAAAACGTTTGGTCAATCCTAAGAGATCATGATGTGTCACCATGAATCCCCCAAAGACAGATGCTTCTCTTTGAGGTCACAGCTCTTCTAGCATGCTTCCTGAGAATATACTTGCCACCCACCTCAGATCTGAGAAGGGGGCCAACTGCTCTTCTGTCCTAGGGATGAGACTTGATTTAAAAACAGGCTTTATCTAGTGGCTGAAAGAAGTCCTTGTGTGGCACTGTAGGAAAAGCACTGGACTGCTAACCCCAAGGTGGTGGTTCAAACCCACCAGCCGCCTCCCTGAAACGTGACTGCAGTTAGCACCAAGTGGCAGAAAGGCAGTTGTTGAGGGCTATGGTAGAGGACACTGCTTAGAGGTTCTTGGTTGTCATCTTCAGGGGAAGTGATGGCCAGGTCTCTCTTCCACAGTGCATCTTTCAGTTAGGAACTGCTTTCACGGGTTCCAGGCTGAAAGATCAGGGCAGTAAATGTCTCCCTGTGCCCCCTCCCACTTTATTTCTGCCCTAGACGATACCTATTTCTGTATTGTCCTGAGGCCTTTTATTTAAAGTTCCTTTATAAAAGTTGTTACTCTGGCATCCTGTCAATGTAGTAAGCCCCATCTTGGAGCAGGATCCTGCTGAGGCTGTACAACAGCTCTGAAAGCGATGGCCACATCTCATCTCCACCCCTCAGTGTTCCCCAGCCCCATGGCCACGCCTTCCTCCCGAGCCTTCTCCTCTTGCCAGCTACAACTACATATGCTACTGGCTCCCCGCCACCTTCTTGGCCTCTTCCCCAGCCCCTGTACTTATTTCTCCATTTTGAGTGACTCTCTAGTGTCAGGGCGCCTCCCAGGCTCAGTTCTAGGCCCACCTGTCTCTCTACAACCTGCTGATGACAGTCATATTTAGGGCTTGAACTCCAGCTCACATGTGTCCATCAGATAAGACTTTGACAAATTCCTCCAAACTGTGTCACTGAGACCAATGATCCACCTAATGGAAGACCAGGCCACAGGCTCAGAGCATATACCCAGCCCTGTCACTCAGGTGCTCGGTGCAGGCTGCTAAGCCCAAGGTCAGCAGTTGGAATCCGGCAGCCGCTCTGTGGGTGAAGGATGAGATCTCTGCTCCTGTGAAGATGCTCAGTCTCGGAAACCCCGCACAGCTCGTTGAGTCGGAACAGACTCGGTGGTCCAGCTCCACCATCACCAGGTCACCCATTTGTATGGAAGGAATAGGTTAAAAAATATGGCATGGCTGGCCTGAGTCCAGAGCTGCCACAGCTGCCCAGGACAGTGAACTCCACCCATTAGGATGAAGAGTTAAGCACAGCCTTACTGAAAGCTTCCTGTGTCAGACACACTTCCATGCAGTTCATTTGGTCCTGACAGCCATGTTCTGTGGGCAGCACTAACCGCGCCCATTTCACAGACGATGAAGCCGAGACTCATCAAAGTTCAGTACTTGCTTCACGCCACTGTGCTGGGAATTGATGGGGCTGGATTTGGACCCAGAGCTGGTGCTCCTCATTACTGTGTAAAAGAACTCCCTGAACTCAACCAGCCTATGATGCCCCGAGTGGCACAGGGGAAGAGAGAGTAGCTATGCGTCAGAATCGATACCCCGAGTGGCACGGGGGGAGAGAGTAGCTATGTGTCAGAATTGATGCCCAGAGTGGCACGGGGGGAGAGAGTAGCTATGCGTCAGAATCGATGCCCCGAGTGGCACGGGGGAAGAGAGAGTAGCTATGCGTCAGAACCGACTGGATGGCGCTTAACATTTTAAAGAGGAATGGCGCAAACAGTAAAGTGTTCGGCTACTAACCCAGAAAGGAGCTCTGGTAGCATAGTGGTTACAAATTGGGCTGCTAACCTCAAGGTTGGTAGTTCAAAACTACCAGCTGTTCCGTGGGAGAAAGATGAGGCTTTCTGCTCCCGTAAATATTTACAGCCTCAGAAACCCTGTGCAGGGTCACTGAGTCAGAACTGAATCCATGGAATTAACAACACTAACCAAGAGGTTGGCATTTCAAATCCACCCAGAGGTGCCTTGGTAGAAAGTTTGGTGATCTCCTTCCAAAAGGTCCTGGCCATCAAAAACCCTACAGAGCAGTGTTGTGCTCCGAGACCCACGGACTCAACATGAGGTGGAATCAACTCCAAGGTGGTGCATTTAATGAAGAGCTCCATGGCATTTCTGCAGCAGGCAGGCCGAGCTCAAAATGCAATCATGAGGATGTTCAGAAAGGCGGCGATCGTGCCGGCCTGTGCACACAAGCTGTGGGCCTTCCACCTCAGCTGTAAGCCACCCTGACTGCCGATAGGGTTCCGATTCTTCCGATGCATACCACACTGAGTCCACTAGGCCAACTCCATCTCTGCTAGAGCTCTTCACTGCTGACTACAGCCACTTTAGACCGCAACTCTTTACAACACGTAGTAACACGTGAGTGAGCATTCTGGGTTTTATTGCATACATATGAATTACAAGTGCATTTTCACATTTCAAAAACACATTTCATTACATTTACGGCATGTCTGAGCTCTCTAGTTCTGCTAGGACAGAAATATCACAAGTGGATGGTTTTCACAAATTTATTTCTCAAAGTTTAGGGGTGTGTAGGAGCCTGGCATACCTGAAATGGCTGGTTCCGGCTTGGGCATTCTTATAATTTGTTACATCTTAGAACTTGTGCTTTTGTCTCAGCGACAGTTAACCTTGGTACAGACTTGATCTTATACCTCAGGATATGTCTTTCTTCGTAACCAGCTAAGAAATAAAGTCCTCAGCTTCTTCCCAAGATGCTTTCATTCAAACATCCGCTTTTTCCCATAGAGTCTTAATACAGAGTATCTAACCTCTACATTTCCAGAAAGAAATGCCTTCCAAACCAGTCAACTAACTCCACATCGGCCCTTTAAATCAATCACAGAAAAAGTCCCATTTCGAGATGCCCTGCATCTAACTATTTGGCAACCAACCAAATACTGCACAAGAAAGATCTGGGTTTCACTGTTATCAAGAAGCTATGGGACTCCAGCATCAGATGCTATGGGAGTGCTAGGTTCTACTTGTGAGTCAGTGTGCCGTCAGCTCGTGCTGCCTTTGCTCTCGGTAAGTCTCTCTCCTTGCCTCCTAATAGAGGAAGCTAGTCGTGGGGACTCGGAGCACCGCTTTAGGGAAAATTCTTGTCTCCTTTCAACATCTGTGGGCTGCCCGGTGTTCCCTGGAGACTGCGAGTGTCTTGACATCAATCTTCCTTTGAGTCTAGCAGGTTTTCAGCTTAGGGACCCCTGTCCAAAGGATGAACTCATCTGATGGCTGTTAGTAGTGAGCCCCCGCCTCCTCTCTGCTGGGTTCTCTATCCTTTTATCTCTTTTAAGATAAAAAGCTGTGATTCAAGTAAGGGGGTGATTTGTAGGGTTATGATGCAAGACACATCCCACATGATCCTATCTCATTAATGCAGAGGTAGGATTCAGGACACATCATAAAATGCTGGGAATCATGGCCTCCCCAAGGTGACATATAGTTTTATTTTTTGGGGGCGGGGGTACAGTTCAATCTATGACACTACATATGTATCAGTGTGTTGTTGTTGTTAAATGCTGTCGTGTTGGTTCCAACTCATAGCAACCTTGTATAGAGGATTGACTAGTGGATTTGAAAGGTTAACCTTACAGTTAGCAGTCCACTGATTATCCTACAGAGCCACACCAGGACTCCCACATACCATCATGAATGAGATAAATTAGTTTCATTTCCAGGTGGCAAAGGAGAAACATTTTGGGGAAGGATAAGTTCCTTCCTGGTACAGTGCATGGTAGCATTATTCTATCAACTAGTGAGTGCAGAAGTATGCAGGAAGTGTGCATATGTGTATTTGCATGGAGGTGTGTACAAGGATGTATAGGTGTATTTGTGTATGTGCGTTCAGATACATGCTACATAAGCAGTCACATACAACATAAACAGGAAGAACATTTAACTGCCCCGGAAAAAATGATATAAGCAACTAGATGCAGCAAAAAAAGAGAATGATTAATAGTTTATTAAGATTTTTAACAGCTATGAAAATAAAGCAATATAGTGAACATCAGCTAATCCAAAACTTTCAAAATCCGTAGTGGATACAATACAGTATGCATACCAATTACCTGCCAAACCCCCCGTGTTCACAGAAGGGAGAAGGCAGAGAAAAGACCCCTTGTTGCTAGCAGGACCAAGACACACAGGATCCTACTGTGATTTCAAACCAACGGACAGAAAACCCCACAAAACGCCCAGTTTACAGACAGACTCAGAGACAGGTGTGATGAGCAGCAATCGTAACTACAATGGTTTTCTGGACATGCAGTTTCACACCTCAGAGAAACAAGGGATTCTGTAAAGTTTGCGTTTTATAGGAGTGCAAATGAACATATATCTTTTGTTAGGCTAGTAAGTAATATATATTTTCATACAAAAGCACACAGTGTTAATTTAGAAAATGACATCCAAGTGGATGGTGATTGTTTTTGCATGTTCCCCTGCTTAGATTTTTTTTTTTTTAATTAACAAAAGTTTAGCATCTTCTTTTAAAAACACAAAAAAAGAGAAATGAAAAAGTGAAACCAAACAAGACAAAGTTGGTCTATTAGACGGCGACACGTTTTCCGTGATCAGGAGGTGAAGTCCGGCGACAGTCGTACTAGGGTATCAAGCCTTGCCGAGTGCACTGCCGTGCTGAACCCAGGACCGCCTTGATCGACCACGAATGCATACTTTGGCTTAAATATTCAAAACTGTTCAAGTAAGCTTGCTCTGTTACCGCTTTCTTACATTTTTTTCCTACTAAACATGGCAAATAATCTTAAACACAAAGTTACCACAGCCCATTGTTTAATGAATGTTCCAAACAAAAACAAAAGCCAAAAACGGAATTGTTTTTTAAGCTAAAATTTGTCTTATTTTTACAATAGCTTTATGTAAAAAGAAATCTAATTTGAAAAGGTAAGATTATAAACAGGTTATTTTATAAAAATCTCTTAAGAGAATTTCGTGAGTTGCAAAAGAAGCTAATTTTCACTGTGCCATGGCATTCTCTAAAATGCAAACACCTTTAATAAAACCCTAGCGGTCTGCCACTTACATTAGCCACAGCTACACTGAACTGACAATCCTTAGCAAACTGATTCCCCTCAGAGCTGCACACAAGTTATCATTCTAATCGGACAAACCAAAAGTCCATCTGGGGAACTCTTAGACTATGAGGATTTAAAACCATGCTTGGTGGTCACGTGGACATGAATGTGCTCTTAGTGAAAAACAGTATGTGCAGACTCTTCACAAATGAAGGAGTAGCTGTTTTAAAATGTCTTTTGACTCTTCTCTATACTAAATATATATGCTAATTACTCAATGTGCCACAGCAAAATATGACTATAATTTCAAAGCAGAGCCTGTAAACGAATACATCTCATGATGTAAAAAATATTGCACAGTTCGGAGCTTGGAGAGTACACGCTGAGCCTCTCAAGCAGAATAGTCAAGAAGCTCATCAGGAAACACAGTATGACAGGAACCCGCTGCATCAGCACAGCCATGTGCGGGGTTCTATTCTAGGGACATGGTTCCACAGACGTCTCATCACCATAAAAAGGCTCGGAACACCTATTACACCGGATGACAGCGACAGAGAGAGGGAGGCGCTCAGGACTTGTCTAAAGCATGGGGACAAGAGCCACACCACAGTTTTGCAGTCCTAGGACTAAGAGTACACTTGTGAACACTGGCTTTTGCAGATGACCAGAAAAGCAATTCTATGTCTAAGCAGCTGTGTAGACATCTAAGAAATACAGTAGTCACTTCATACACTTTTAATCTTCTGAGACTTAATTAAAATTTAAAAATATTACATGTTTGTGAAAAATTTAAAATACAGTTTAACAATGGAATAATGTAACACCAATGTATGTTCCACTTTAAAAGCCAGCTGAAACTTCTTAAGCAATGAACATGGTCTAGAGCTAGCTCGAGCTGCAGAAGTATTCTAAAGAACATCTTCCAAAGTGTATGGTATACCAAGCATTTGTTTAGGTAAGTCTCATCATTGTTTTCAAGAAGTATGTTAATTAATATGCATTAGGTAAGCCCTGGAAACTCGGTTTGTTCCTCCAGAGTCAGTCAGTACACACACAGATCTGGAAACTTCATCTCGTAGACAGGGACCGACTGGTACTGGGCATGCCCCGAAGTAATGGTCAGTGTTCCTGATGGACTTGGAGGAGGGCTGAGGAAGAAGAAAATGAGTCTTAACAGGCCGGCACCCACAACAGCAAAACCAGACCCTCTAAGCACAGGGCTCTACGCTGTCAGACACACACCCGTACGAAAGCAGCTCACTGCTGTGTGTGCCACTGAGCTGCTTCTGACTGATAGCGACCCTGGTTAGGGTTTCTGAGGGCAGTTGGTGGGTTTGAACTGATGACCTTGAGGTGTCCAGTCCAGTGCTGATCCTACAACACCACATCAGGATAGTCAGAAATATGCCAAGCTGGTTTTAGGTCTAAAATAGACATTTCCATTTGAATATATGTACACATATAGTGCGACGTCCTAGTGCGGCACTGTGGGCTAATGTATCAGATGGCAGAGTCGTTTGAACTACAAGGTTGGTAGTTCACGCTCACTAGCGCTCCTTGGAAACCCTACACAGGGTCGCTATGGGTCGGAATTGACTCGACGGCACTTCATAACAACATACATATGGTGTATACTGAGTCCTGGTATGATGCTGTAGGATAAGCACTGGATTGCTAACCACATGTTAGCGGTTCAAACCCACCAGCTGCTTCTTGGAAACCCTACAAAGGGTTGTTATGAATCAACTCTATGGCAGAGTCGACTTACGGCACAACAGTGTCTACGCAGGGAGACTCATGTATGCATACGCTGTATGAATATACAAGGCGCTCTGGTGGGGTCGTGGGTTATGCACTGGGCTGTTAACCATACGGACAACAGTTTGAACCCACCAGCCGCTCTGTGGGAGAAAGATGAGTCTGCTCCCGTAAAGACGGACTGTCCCAGCAACCCAAAGGGGCAGGCTACCCTGTCCTACAGGGTCGCTGCATTGGAATGGACTCACTGACATGCTTGTTGGTGTTTTGTGAATGTAGTGCACACCAGACCCATTCGTGTAAGCCTCCATGTCACCAGTAGAGCTTTAATGCATACTTCCTGAATTTTCCCATGAACTCTCTGAAGTCCCCTTGTGTCGTGTCTTTTTGACACTGAGCATCTCATGGGTTTCTCAGAATTGGCTTCCCCTCCCCCAGTGACTTCATCCGGGGACACATTCAGGGTCCTTCCCAATTTTCAATGGTCACAACAAGGCATGACTGTCTCCTGGCAGACTATCTTCTGGGTCTACAAGTAGAATTTCAGCATCAAAGTATCCACAATTTTGATTTGTCAGAAGATCTACATTGTGTATTTTCAGCATTCAAGCACTTTCTTACAAATATTGAAGATAATAAAACTTTTAAATGTCTCTGCCACATGAAAGAGAGAATAAATCTCTTTCAAACCTGTGTTTGAAAACCAGGCCCTCTGCATTTTCACACACAATCAATTCATCACTTTCTATAAAACGTGTTTGGTGATATCTTGATGAGATTCTGGTAACGCTATAAAATCAGTTTGGGGAGAAATAACATGTAAATAGTATTTAATCTTTCAGTCCATGAACATGGTATATTTTTTCATTTAGATTTTTTAAATTTCTCTTGGCAATGTTTTAGATTTATAATGTTATTCATTGTTAAGTGCATCAAGTCGGTTCCAACTCAAGGAAACCCTGTACAGAGTTTCTGAGGAGTAGCTGGTGGGCTTAAACTGCTGACCTTGTGGTTTACAGTCCAGTTCTGATTCTATAGTGCCACACCAGGAGTCCATATTTATAGCAGAGGTGTACATACAGCTAAATTTATGTATAGTGTTTTCAAATTTCATTCTCCAACTGTATGTTGCTAACATGAACAAATACAGTTGATTTTTGGATACTGATCCTAAATCTACTGGCCTTGCTAATTTCACTTAGTCTAGTAGGTTCCTTTAGAAGGGAGTAGGAGCGGGCAGATTACTTAGGATTCTTACATCCAGAATCATGCCATTTTGTGATAAGATAGCTTTATTCCTTCTTTTCCAACTTTTACATTCCTATTCTTTTCTTGCCTTATTGCATAGGCTAAGGGTTCCACATGCTGCTATCCAGGAACACTGAGCATGGACACACACATCAGGAGGTTGATCCACATTCAATGTCAGTGTTAACAGGGAAAAATGGTTAACTATGGCGAAGCATGACACTAACACGTGGGTCTTCAGATTACCCCGATTTCTTCTAAGTCCACTGTGAAGGAAGGAGCAATCAGACAGAGCAGTGTGGAGGTACCACCTAGTGAGCAGAGTGACTATGAGGGACACACGCACACCGCCAGGTCCTGTGGGTGTCCACCTGAGGACACACGCACACTGCCAGGACCTGTGGGTGTCCACCTGAGGACACACGCACACTGCCAGGACCTGTGGGTGTCCACCTGAGGGCACACGCACACCGCCAGGACCTATGAGAGTCCACGGGAACAGCACAGACATGGGAACAGCAGCAGCCACATTCTTCGGGAGTCTATTGCTTTCTATTTTGTTCTTTGGCTGCTGCTGGAGTAACAAATCTCTTACCGTATGGTGAGCTCCAATATTTGAGCCAGTCTATCATGGAGCAAATTTGCCTACAAAGAAGAACAAAATCTGTGTTATGGGTTGAATGGCATCCCCTGAGAATACATGTTGTAAACCCTAACCTCTAGGCCTGCGGTTAGAACCCCATTTGGGACTGGGTTGCCTTCGCCATATTATTGAGACAGGTTCCTATAGGGTGTCATGTGACTGGAGTTCATCTCATTTGCGACATAAAAGAGATGACACACGAGCTACCAAGCTGAGACTAGAAAGGGAGACGCCAAGCCATGCAGAGCGTGTGCAAGAAGAGCAGCAGCTCTGAAGGAGCAGGACGCACCTCCAGAGCCAACAGACACACAGGGTTCCCCAGGAGCTGGTATCTTAAATTCAGACTTCTGGCCCTGGTGGTGCACTCAGGTAAGCACTGATGCTAACCAGAAGCTCAGCAGTTCAAACCCACCAGCCACTCTGTGTGAGAAGTATGAGACAGTCCGCTTCTCTCAAGAAGTCCCATGGGCAGCGCTGCTCTGTTCAGAGAGCTGCTATGAGCTGGAATAGCTCGGACGGCAGTGGGCAGCCTCCTGAGCTGTGAGATAATACGTTTCCGTTTGCTGCAATTGCCCCCATTTGTGAAATTTCTGTTTTAGCAACACTAGATAACTAATACATTAAGAAAGGCCTTCATTATTTTCAAATATGTATATGTAATAATATGAATGTCATTTAAAAGAGAAGGCATCACTAACCCTTCAGCTTTAAATAGCGGGTAACAGAATGCTCACGTCCAGAGCGTAATCTGTAATTTCCCTTTTTGTTCGCTCCTAGCGTCTCAGTGCTTTAAAAGGACATACAGACACACAAAACACCCACAGCAAAGCCACTGCAAAAACCAAGACAAAATCCAAACAAAAGCCCCAGGTTGTAACAGCCAGGAACACTTGGTTTGGGACTGGCTACCGAGGAAGAGTGCAGGCTTCCTAATTACATCCCACAAGATGTCTGTCCCCTCTGAAAGACTTCCTTCTGCCTGCCGGGCTCACTTACTTTGGATTCACATTGTGCTGCAATTTCTTCAAAAGGTGCCTTCTGGAATTTCTCTATTACAAGACGCCTCTTTTCCTTTTCCTGTTCTTCCATTCCGCTGGTATCTACACAAGTGTTTATATACCCGTTACAAGAAGTACATACTTTGGTAAAACATCAATGACCATAAGAGTAAATAATCTATACACCAAACATAAGGGCGATTTACAGGACTACTTTTCTGAGGTGACAAATAAAAGGCATAAATGATCTTTGAAATGAAAGCATCCTTGTAGTGTGCTATTTAAAGCTGGAGTGCATGGGTACACACGCGCGCATGCACACACACACACCCCATTCTACCAGGGCTGCAGTGACACCCCAGGAACTCCTCCCTCATAGGCCGTCTCTGTTCCTCTTCCTCTTACATAAACGGCACACACACCACTTCAGGGTCCTTCCTGAATGCTGAGTCTTGCATTCCTGGCAAACCCAGAGTTTGTTTCTGTGCGCGACTGTCTCAATTATGTCTACAATGTTAGGCACCATCCAGTGGGCCCAGCTCATGGTGACCCCATGTTAGGCACAGCAGGGACACACTGCTGTGATCCACATGGGTTTCACTGGCTGGTTTTCTAAAGTAGAACACCAGGCCTCCCTTCCTAGTCCAACTCAGTCTGGAAACTTGGTGGAAACCGACTCAGCATCACAGTGGCACACAGAGCAACTCGGACAGATGAGGGGTGGCTGCACAGGAGCAGTGGCCGGGAATCAAACCCGGGCCTCCAGTGTGGAAGGCGGGAATCCTACCACACAATCACCACCGCCCTGACCAAGAAACTGGAAAAAACACTGAGTCACTGAAACACTGGGAGGCCCTCATGTATCAAATGAGGATGTTTGTGCAATGGAAAAAGAAGAAAACAAAAAACTGTAAATTCCAAAGCTGACAAACTGAGTGACAAGAGTGATCCTTTTTTTCTATTTTTATAGCTGGAATCGCCTATCTACAAACACATTCAATTTGATGCAATGGTATGTTAATGGAAGTCTATAAAGAAAACAGAGCCCCAGAAAGACATCCACACATACATACAGGACAAGAAACGAGCTTTCCAGTAGCCTTTCCACCTAACTGTGGGTGTTCTTCTTTGATGTATTAACGCCACAACTAACAGGTAGACTACTACCATCTTAGCTGCCAATGGCAAGATTCAGGAAAGCCATCACTTACGTTGTTTCTTCTGGGTGTTTGATAAATTTACCCTTTTTTAATGGCGAGTGTATGGAACTGAAGAACATGATGACCGTTAGGAGTCTGGTGCCCCTGCCGCATTCACTGACACAGTCAACGGGCAAATGATGCTTTCAAGTTTGACAATACTTAGGACCCCCTACAAGAGCCTCGTCCAGGCCCTCCAGGTGCCTCAGACTAGCCGCTGTGACAGTTTCTTCATCTTTCAATCTCTCAGAATATCTTGCACATAACGACATTTGAAAAGTGCTTACTAAATGGAATTCATTTTATTTTAGCATATTTAATATTGTGTCATAATAGGAAAATACTCTCTAATGGATTTAGCTAAAAATGCTGGTTAAAAAAGGTCAGGCTTTCTTACATGTTACAGACATAATTAGAAAAAGTACAGTGTACACTGGGAGGCACAGACCTCAGTCATGTCCTGAGAGGCCTGCTAACCTCAACTGACTGCGCGCACCCATCACAAACACATCATTACTTACGCTGCATGCCTGCTGAAAGCCAGGACACTGAGTTTTCTCAGCATTTCTCACAATTCTACCGCCCACAGCACTCCTACACAAAAAAGGTGTGTAGACTATTTCTCATATGTGTTTGGTATTTACTCCCAGATCTGCCCAGCCCAGAAGTCAATTTCCAGAATTCTGGTCACCAGATAAGGGCAGGAGTACGACACATTGCAACTGTGCCTTCTTCGTGGCACAACCGTTCGTGCATCTGACAGGAAAGGATGCCATGTGAGGACGGTTAAACGTCTCAAGGAGCACAGCCAAATCAGTGACACATGGATATGAAAACCAATGGGCTGATTTATTTTGCCTTGATGCCTCTATGTACCCTGCTGGCGTGAGAACATACACCAAGCTAAAGGTCAGCTAGGAAAATATTAGGACACACACACACAGTCTTACCAATTGCTTTCTTCAGTGCTTCAAAGGTGATTTCTTCAGTGTTACTAACCTAGAGGAAAAAATGGTTAAGTTAGCTAAGACAGGCCACTGTACAGAATGCCTTCGGCTAGCTACAAGCCACCTGAGTAGTTTATAATTGTAGGTTTCTTCTTTGTGTTGGTCTGACTGATGAGACGCAACACTATCAAATAGTCGCCCTGTTTCACTGGCTGAAACAAAGGTCTGCTGCAGTGGGGTGACCCGAGCACCCCTGAGCCAGACAACTCAGCCTCCGGAGACTGAGTGCCACTGGTGGAACTATTCATTATACGGGAAGAATGCTTTCAGGTAGTATGGGTAGAGAAACATTTCTAGTCATATGAGAACTGAGCACTCTACAGTCTCTATAATGTTGGTACCATATGACATTTGAACATCAAACATGCAATAATCTAAGACTTTAGGACTGTTAACCACAAGGTCGGCAGTTTAAGCCCATCAGCCTCTCCACATGAGAAAGATTAGGCTTCCTGCTCCCATAAAGGTTTACAGCCTCAGAAACCTTACCCAGGGTCGCTATGAGTCAGAACCGATTAAGTGGCACTGGGTTTGGGTCTGTTCAATTGAATGATTTATAAGAATCATCACTTTGGGAAGCATTCAATAGCATCTAAAAATAAACAGAGTCTAGATTTTCTAAGGTCCACCACCAAGTTGAATTCCTTTATAAATACTCTCTTACATAGGTTTCCCAGAGCTATGTCAAACATATAAAACCAACTGCTTTAAGGTTTAAAGAACAAAAAGTTAGTACTATATTTTGTGGCAGCAGCACATTTTCAAAATGAATAATAGGTCCGTTCATTACAGCATCTCTGAGAAAAATTAAGCTGTTATACATGAGTACTTGCCAGGGCTCTGGTCATCCCTAATTTGAGCTCATGGACTACTTGAGCTAAGTTTAAGGCAGTAAGACTGATGAATGCAAACCTCGGGACACTCTAAACCTGAGCTTCTCTGCAATACAAAGGCTTGAGCAGGACAGCCAGGAACAAGAGGTCCACCACACCACCTCAGTGGCCTGCTGAGGCCTCAGTTCTAGTGGGAGTCAGGTTACCCTGGGAGTCTCCAGCGGCTTTGTTCTCTTTATCTGGGGCAGATCAGATACTCCAGCTCTAGCTGGTCAATGCTTTGTACCTAGAAGGGCTGTATGTACTATTTCAATGAGAAGATAAGCCACTGCATTCCAAAGGAGTAAAACGTGAAAGCACCTTGTCCTACAATCCCTTCCTTCTGATTGGTTCTGATTTTTTTTGCATCTGGATAATTAGGATGTGTCCTGGAAGCATCAAACACTTCCAAGTCATTCAGTGTGCTCTAACATCGCCCATCCACACACACAGTCCTCTCTGTTCTAGCTCCAGAATACTCCTGGATCCCTTGTTCCTCCTCTGGGTTCCTCCTTCAGGTGTGGACTACTGTGAGAATCCCCTAACATCCTCTCTCTCTCCAGTCACTATGTTCCGGCTGGAGCCTGGCCCCACTCTCAGAGACTGTTTCAGGGAGGTCCAGCTCTGAGAATGAGATGGCCCAGATGTCAGGGGCTTCCCACTTCCTGCCAAATCCTACGTGAAGTCCTCTGCCTGGTGAGAACCCTTCTCTAGAATGTGGCTCCTGTCTTGTCTCCCGCCCACTCTTCCCTTTCGTGAATCTTTTTAGGCAAACAGAATTGTTTCATACTGACACTTAATGACTCAGATTTGTCATGCACCGTGGCTGCTAATTACTAGCCACTTTCTTTCATTTGGTGCTCAACCAAACTACAACCTGATCCAACGTCGGGGAAAATGAGTCATGCAGAATGTGTGAGGAAGTGGGGCCCTGGGACTCCTCCTTTCCCAGAAGAGCAGCTGCTCTGTCTCCCAGGCTGACCCCTTAGCTGTCTGCAACCCTGAGCACACCAGGCTCGGATTGGCAGCACACATGATGGCTTCTCCAGTTGTATTTAGGAAAGAGGAAGGACTATGAATAAAACAAAGATCTGTTACCTGCCTGAGAATAAATCATCATTTTTTCAACCAAGCAGTTAACTTCAGATTGCACCCTCCAAAATTTAATAAGTACTGAAAACTTAATGCATGTAATCTACCATCAGTTCCCCCAAATAATGAGGGATTAAGGTTTCCCCCATATCTATCATGGAGGTAATCCCCAACTTAAGATATATTCAAGTTATGACAGATTGCACTGATGGCCGGCCATGTTTTGTTTTGTTTTTGGTACATGCTATTGTTAGCAAGGTCTCCTGGTGTGGTGTTGTAAGATAAGCAGTGGATTTTGAACCACAAGGTCAACGTTCAAACCCACCAGCTGCTCCTTGGAACTCCTATACAGGGTGACTATGAGTCTGAGCCGACTGGAAGGCACCTCACAACAACAAATCATTAGTCATACGTACGGCACACATGCTGCAGCAAAGACTATGCTAACGGAGTCTCAGATGTGGGCTAGCAGATGCCCAGTGCTAGGATTTACTGACGGAATGCTAGGCGATGGCCTGGTCTACAGTGAAGTCGATGACGATGGCAGGTGTGGTGCCAAACAGACAGTTGGTCAACGTTCAACTATAATAACATGACAAGTGAGTTCCACATGTGCCTGGTAGCTATTCACTTTCGACTTCACTGTTACAACAAATAAAGATCGTGTTTACAAATATATTGACAATAAAAGGCAATTATAAGGAAAACTATAAAGGAGTTCTGGTGTGGTGCTATGGGCTAATGCGTCAGACTGCAAAGTCATCAGAACTGCAAGGTCAATGGTTCAAGCTCACCAGCTGCTCCTTGGAAACCCTATACAGGGTCACTATGGGTCGGAATCGACCCATACAACAACAACATATATATAAAAGAGTTACTTGCCGTATGTTAGAACTGAGTCCTCAGAACAGAACTGTCATAAGGTGGGGACCACCTGTGTAAAAGATTACTGAACTGTTGTGCATAGAAGGCTTTAGTCTAGTTGTTAACCTGACAATTTTAACTCAGGAAACAAAGAAAAGTGTCTTCACTATTTACCTTTCTGAACATAAAAATTTAGGTAACTTCCTCTAAACTATATATTATCCGTGTTGTTGTTAAATGCCTTAGAATTGGTTCTGACTCACAGTGTCCTTGGAACCAACCTTGCTGTTAGTAGTTCAGTGATTATCCTACAGCGCCACATTAGAACTCCTCTCACCTATTTATAGTGTCCCAGGGTGGACTGCTAACTGCAAGGTCGGCAGTTCAAACCTACCAGCTGCTCCTTGTGAACTCTATATAGTGACCTGATGGCACTTAACAACAACAATACATGGCAACATTTAGGGCAGATTCAGTAAGTGATTAACGGTGGGCTATGGTCAGAACCAAGAGACCTCAAGAGGGGCTGGAACTAGACTAGAGTGGGTTAACAGAAGTTTGTGTGGTTTGCATCTGAATACCCTTCTGACTCTCCTGTTTCATTTCTTTCTAAATTATGCACTCTAAAAATCAGATCTAACTGCAGACAAACTGGGATGATGTATATAAAGCTTCAAATCATTTTTGTTATTTTCTGAGTTAATTCATAAATTGCTATTGTGTTACACTTCTAAGTGGTGAGTCCCTGACTGATGGATGCGACTTCCTGCTTCCCATGAAATGAATGAATTCGTCTGAGGCTAGGTGATGGCTTTCAGCCTCTGAGGCCATGTGTCTGCTGTGTACACGCAAGTCCACAGTGTACGTGCAACTCCAGCGTGCTGAGTCGGCACCAAAGAAGCGTGAACGCTCACATGCTCAGGATAACCAGTGGAAAGTTGACAAGTGTTTCAGCGGACATTTAATGTAATACTCAGAGTCCTGGTGTAGCACTGTTGGATAAGCACCAGACTGCTAACCATGAGGTAGGTAGTTCAAACCCACCAGCTGCTCCTTGGAAGCCCTCCCTAGGGTTGCTATGAGTCAGAACTGACTTGATGGTGCTTATTAACCACAAGAACAGCACAATGTCCATGTACAAGAATTCCCCCTACATTACGGTTTGAAACAATCTGTTACAATTCTGTGTGACAGCACTGATGACTGCATAGATATCTTTGAAAGAAACAAAAATAACAAAAAAAGTGATGTAAGCCTACAGGACAATAAAGTAAACTGTCCTTCTGACAAAACACAAATTGATAAACATAGGCTTTGGATGCATTTCTGCCCTCAGATAATAGAGAATCATTAAAAAACATACATGTTCTTACTAATAACGTGACTCCAAAGTGAATGGCTTTGAAGGAAGATGTGAATTTAATGGACAGTGGTTTATCTAAGCCTTAAATTGGTAGGGAATATCAAAGTAGCCTTAAAGAACTTCCAGGCTTAAGGTTCAAAAGGAACACTGGCTTTGCAAGTCTTTGGGGTGTTCTGCTGCTGAGAGTCTCCCCATAAATGGACTCATGTGACTCCTAACGGAGACTCCTAATGATCATCACAGAAAACGTTCTTCAGCTGTAACTCTGGCCAACAGACAGTTTAGTTACAAAAGATGAAATAACTGGCAGGGATGGGAAGAAAGGAGATAAACATGCAAGCATGAATTCAATGTCCAGCCCCTCTGAGACGTAGGTATTGTTTCCTGAAAGACCCAGGAAGGCAAACAGTGGATAAAGCACTAGGGAGGCTGACTGGACAGGCTGGTAGTGTGTGTGGGTAAGTCTTCGAGAAGACTAGCGGCTGCCTTTTCTTCCCAGAACCTGGAGGGTACGTTCTTGCGCTCTAGGAGACAGGAGGAGACCATTAACCCTAGGATGCTTCAGATAAGGCATGGTCCTCACAAAGTGCACGGCTCACTGGTACAGCCCAAACCACATTCATTACATTCAGAATCTAAAACAACACCATCATACCGCGCCAGTGAAGTCTGAGAAACTGCTCAAAGCAATGCTGTGAGAGTGAAGAATTACATTGACTTCCACAATTTATGCTTCCTAACTCCCTAAAAAGAAACAAATTTGACACATGCCATTTGGAACTTTTTTTTACTTGCAAAACAAACCTTAGTTGTTACCAAGTTCCTTTTCCAAGGTTTCCGAATTGAATTACAACATGAAGTCTAACAATATTATAACATACACCACCAAGTTTATGAATCTTTTAGAGATAGCCAAATGAGTTCAGTAAAATAAAGGCCCAAGAAGCTCAAGGCACAGATGCATGGCGTCTGTAGGACAAGCACTGGACTGCGACGAACCACAAGGCATTCTACTGCCACCATTTACAGCCTCGGGGACCCTATGCAGGTTCTCTGAGTCAGAACAGATTTCATGTCACTTAAAAAGCTCAAGGCTAACTGTGTGATTTCCAGTGACCGATGCACTTGTGACTTCCCTGCTGCGCAGTGTGGAGGAGCAAGCCAGCTTCTGAAACAAGGTCTACTTCATGCAATATTACCACTCCAGTGACGTCCAGCAACTTACCACATCATCTGAATGAGAGCTGTTGGGTAAAATATCCACCTGGATGGATACAGTGTCCACAATACTTTTTCTTCTAGAAAGCCGATCTTCATCTAAAATAAAAATGGGTTTCCTCCTGTTATCGGCGATCAAGAAACAGTAGAATGATTTTCATTTCTAAACTCTACCAATTCCAACTTTTCGAAAATTTCAGAAAATGAAGGCACTTTGTCTTTTTGCTCTAAGTCTAGGAAGACTTAAAAGTGCAGGGCGCAGATTGCAAAATAAAACTGATGGCATGCTCTGAAATACGGTGGTATTTTTCATTAAAAAAAAAAAAAAGACATTTAAAATAGCAACATCAACAACTGTTAAACAACAATTTAATACACTCCCCCCGACCCAAACACACACACTAGAAGTCTCTTGTTGTTAAACGCCGTCCATTCAGTTCCGACTCACAACTACCCTCACAACTAGAGGATCTTCAAGAAGTGTCTGGTGGGTTTGAACCACTGGCCTTGTGGTGCAAACCGACCTTGGGGTCCAGTGCTTATCTTAGAGTGCCACACTAGGACTCTGAAAGTCAGAGTGCCTGCCATTACAACCCACCCTAATCACCAAGTGATAGGGCTTTTCCCTAATACACCACTACCCTCCAAGCATCACTAAATTCAGCTTTATCTCCACATGACTGGACTCATTTTCAAGAGTGCCAGCTTTCAAAATTCTTCATCATTTCTCATCTACATTCTTAGCCAGATCTCCTAATACATTTCTGCTTTCCAATTTAGACTTCTCACTGCAACTAGCGTGCTTCCGAAATAAAACCACGTCCAATTCTCATTATGCTTTATAAACAGACTCCACTGACAAACACTGGGCTCCCCATGTTCTGTTTTTTTAAATGTTTTATCGTGAATGATATGATAGTTTACATGGGAGAACATTAGTTTTACATTCATCCTATCATATATCGTTTCCTTGCCATGATTACAATCCCCTCCATTCATTATCAACCAACCAAAGGGTACACTCTGCAAGCCTGCCTCCCAGTCATCAGCACAGAGCCCCTCTCCCTCTCTGGGTCTAGAGTCCCCAGATGCTCCATCTCTCCACGTCATCATCTCTGCCTCCATCTCTGGCGTCACTGCTTCTCTGGGTAGGGTCCTGTTCTCTGCTTTTCTCCCTCGGTGGTCCAGGGATGTCCGCTCTTAGACTGCAAAGTTACTCACGCCCCTCCTTTGGCTACACTACAGCACGTACACAGAATGGTACTACATGATCGGCACAGGAGTCAACAGAAAAGGCTGCTGGCACTGGCGCCCACATGGCCCCAGCCCTGACTACACAGCCAGACACACCTGTAATGTTCCCAACAGACGGAGGTCTATTCCTGTCCTAGTCTAACAGTAGTAAATGTTCCTGTCCTGTTGTGAGCACACTATGATTAGAGTCACAGCAGAAGTGTGTGTGTGTGTGTGTGTGTGAGACGCATGGCACAGATAAAGAAACTGGTCTCGCTCTTACTAACTTCTCAGCTAGCTCACAGTAGCCCTCCAACAACAATGCTGTTCATCAAACACTGCAGTTTTCCCCATTCTGAGCAAATGGCAGGATTGGAATGCCTCGCCTCTTTTGTGTCAGGAGGGTCTCTGTGACTCATTCTAAGCAGTACAGAGTGAGCATGCTCCAGAATGCAGGTGCTGGGGAGCAGAACCTCCAGCCAACCCCTGACGCTCCAGCAGAGTGAGCAGAAATCCCTGTACTATCACAACCCACCGCCGCTGCGTCGAATCCAACTCCTAGCGACCCTCCAGGACGTAGCAGAGTGGCCTCACGGGACTCCCGAGGCTGAACATCTTAACAGAAGCAGAGTCACACCCATCTTCCTCAGAGCGCCTGGTAGGTTTGAACCACTGATTTTTAGGTTAACAGCCAAATGCTCTGACCACTGCAGCACCAGGGCTCCAAACCGTGTTGTTGCTGTGTGTCGCCAAGGCAGCGCCGATTCACAGGGAGCCTGTACAGAGTTTCTGAGGCTGCAGATCTCTATGGGAGAAGAACATCTCATCTTTCACCCGGGGAGTGGCTGGTGGATTCAAACCACCGACCCTGCATAACCCACTATGCCACCATGGCCCCAAGGATCCAAACTGTTGTGGCTAAGTGCTATGGAGCTGGTTCCAACTCACAGCAATCCTGTAGAGGCTTTCTGAGGAGCAGCTGGTGAGTTTGAACCACCACCATGCGGTTCAAATGACCTTGTGATAGTGCTTATCCTACAGCCACTAAGAATGTGGGGGTCTTTGTTACCATGGCCTAACATAGTCAGGATACTTAAATACTGGTACTATTGGAGTCCTGGTGTGGTGCCGTGGGTTAATGCACCAGACTGCAAAGTCGTTTGAACCAGAAGGACAGTGTTCAAAGTCAACAATCATTCCTCGGAAACCCTACACGGGGTCGCCATGGGTTGGAAACAACTCGACAGCACTTAACAACATTTGGGGCCAGGTAGTTCTAGTGCCCTGGAGCAGCACTTGGAGGATTAGCACTGGACTGCTGTCCACAAGGTGGACAGATCAAACCCACCAACCACTCCTCAGAAATCCTCTACAGGGTCTCCATAAGTTGGAACCAACTCAACAGCACCCAACAACAACAATTCTCCTCCTACCCAGCATCCCAGGTCTCCACCCACTAGATGCTCCTAGCACCCCCGGTGTCGGAAGCAGACACGGAGGGGCAGAGTCAGGACGGAAGAGCATCACTGTAACCCACGCACCCCTCTGCCATCATAGGTGGCATCTGAAAACTCACTGTCCCAAAGCCCAATGCTCCCCATGCTCCCGGAATTCACCTAGTGCCCACGGCCATGTGCCCACGCTCCAACCTCTGAGCACGCGCTGGCATGCCTGCCCTCCAGGCTTCCTACAAAGCTGGACCTTCCCCTGGAACCGTCCCTCACCTGTGCCTCCCCAGTGAAGCCCTACCTTTCACGGTCTGCTTCCTTACACTCTTAACTGTCACTTGGAGAATTGCTATTTTCTTTCTTTTAGCTACAGAAGTGGACTACCAGTTCTGACCAAGTCTTCGGTAGATCAGCCTTCAAGCATTCACAAAACATTATACTATCTCGAGATAAGTACTGGAATGAGAACAGTAAGGTTGGCAGTCCCAGCCCCCCAGTTGCTCCGAGGAAAGAAGATACGGTCATCTGTTCCCGCACAGATGCAGTCTGGAAGCCCTCCTCTGTCCTCCAGGGTGGCTAGGACAGGGCTGGACTCGATGGCAGTGGGCTGGCCGGGCTGGGGCTGGCACCCAGATAGACAGGAGACTGTGGAACTGTACTTTGATGGCTCCACTGCAGGGACACAACAAACGCAGACTTGGCTGTGACAAATGACTGCAGACGGTTTAGCTAAGAGTTATCAGGGTGGAAATATTTCATCGTCTGCATATGTCTAGTACTGCTGTTGTCGGACTCCTAGCGACCCTGGAGGGCAGACTACAGGCGCCCCAGAGAGCGTCCAAGGTTGTAAATCTTACGGGAACAGATTGCCGCTTGCTCTGGTTAGCTGTCAAGTTCTTAACCACTCATTACCAGGCTCCTCTGAGGTAATCTAGACGTATGATCTGAATTAAATCACCAAGCACAACTGTATCAGGTGGGGAGTAAGTAAAAGCTGCGTCTTACACAGAATTTCTGGGGTAACGGCAAAGAGTCAAACTGAAGCCTGAGACTTCAGAACTGAAACCTGAAGTGGGCTCGCTGAGTTGATGGGGAAGCAGAGGAGAGACTAACGTTAAGACTTAGGAAGAAAGATGAGAACATTCTAAAAGCAAAAAAAGAACTGACTCCCACTGGGAATGATCGCTGCTTCTCGTTCCTAACTAGGTTTCAGAAGCAGCAGAGAGCGATGCCTAACTTCCTAAGGCAGCACTGTGCTGCCACCTGGTGGATCTGCAGGTAAGGCGTACGTCAGAGTGTTCAGACAGAGCTCTCTGAACACAAGCCTGCTGCAATGATGTTAGGCGCTCCCCTGCTAACTGTATGTGGCTAAAGAAAGAAACCAGACATACAAAGTGACTTAACTGTACGTACGAAATCAGAAATGTACTGTTGCTGTGTTGTTAAGTGCCGTCGAGTCAAGCATCTGGTGTGCCTGAACCACCAACCTCGTGGTTCAAACAGACCCTGCAGTCCAGCACAGAACACAAGTGTAACACCAGGACTCGCTCTTACTAACTTCTCTGCTAGCCCACAGTAGCCCTCTCCAGGTAATTGATCTCCACACAAAAGTTACAATCATAGTTAAATTCTTATACCATTCATATGCATGTACTTTTTTGCTCCCAAAAAGCAGAGGAAGGGAAAGAAAGCAAAATTTCTATTTAGAATTAAATGCATTATGTGCAAACTGAAAACAAATAAAAATCATCTTTACTAGTGTATGGAATGAAAAGTTGGAGACATACATATATTTTAAAACAAACAAAACTTCTATCACCATGTCTTCTAGAAAAGGAGAGATTGATATAAACATGCGATCATTTCATAGCAAGGACTGGAGGGAAACTATAGAGGCTTTGATAAAGTAGACATAAAACAGTCACATTCTAAGTATTTTTAGCCAATAGGACAAATCAACATAATTGAAAAAGACAAGTAGAAAACTAAAACATTGAAAGAAATACCATTCTTACGTTTTCATAGTATTTTACAGTGTTCAGAGGACTTTCGGATACGTACATTCATACCCTATTTGAGCAAAGTGAGCCAAGATGACAACAAATTTAGGACTGCAAGCCAATTTAGACATCATTATTGTTTCCTGGCTCAGAGAAGAATTGAGAATTCTAGCTTACAATGGCAAGGAATAGTTGGTTTGGAGATGATCTGCAAATGACTTGATTTTTAAAAATGCAAATCAGCTTTTGCCTATCATTTGCACTAATTTCTGAGACTTGCTCGTTTTGAGTTCACGGTAAGAGGATATAACACACTGCAAGTGTGAACATGCCCCCTGTTCAGTTAGTAAACTTTCTAAAGACGGGGTGAAACCACGGTGGCAATTCAGCTTCAGGGACAGTAAGAGCCCACAGAAAG